GTGGGGGGGGGGAGGATACGGGGGGAAAACACCATTTGGGGGGGTGGGGAGCGCCTGCACCGCTTGGAGGGGCTGGGGTGGGGAGAGAGGAGCTCCACAGTGCCAGCGCTGAGGGCATCCCCGGGCAGAGGACCTCTCAAAGTCCTGCCAGTCCTCAGTGAGATATGGCTCGGTCCCTTCACCCTGCGTCTCCTACCCGGCAATCCAAATGGCTGTGGCCCCTGGGCCCCAGAGGCCGGGAAGGGTTGGGAGAAGCTGGAGAGCTAGGATGCCTGGGTCCCCGAGGACTTTGGACTGGCTGTCCGATTTCCCCACCCCCTTGGTCCAGCCACAGGCCAAAGCCTTGGCTTCGTGCAAACTTAGCTCCAAAAAAACAGGAAGAAAACCTGAGGCTGAAGTTGGGGTGGGGGTTGGGGGTAGGAAGGAGAAAGAAGTGGGGGGAGGGGTGGCCAGCCTAGGCACCGGGAGCATTGGGAAAAGCCTTAGGCCTCTCCATCACCCCTGGGTAGAAGTTGCCTCAACCTGGTTCTCGTCCTCCCTCACCCTGGCCCTGCTGCTGGAGAGGCCTACCCAGGCCCCTCTCGGGCTCCCTGGCAGAGCCGAGAAGTGGGGGCCTTAGAACCTGGGGGGGGCTTGTGTGCCTCTGTCTCAGGCCCATATCTATTTTCTCTGCTGCTAATCCTGGTTCCGCCTGCTGCCCCCCACACTAAGCCTCACTCCCCTAATCCCCAGGGTGGGGGGAAGGGGGGCCAGCTTTACTCAGCTGCCCGTTCAGGGCCTCCCTGCCCTGCCCTTCAGCTGGCTCAAGCCAGCAGTGTTGGCCCCAGTGCCCCCCAGCCCTGCACTGGACACTGCCTGAGGTCAGCACCTGGAACGAGTTCCAGTCCCTTTTCCTTCCAAGACCGGGCCAATGCCCTCTACCTTCTGGTTTTCTGGGGTGGACGCACCGTGGCAGGTGCCCTTGGGCACTGAGGAGTAGGTGATGGCCATCTTTCCCCCCTCCCACCTTTCTCTCCCTAAATTCTTCCCCCAACCAAAGATGGGGCAGGCTTGACTCAGGGCCCAGTTTCAAGAGAGCTGCCCACCGGCTTGGCCGGTCTAGCAGGCCTGACAGTGAGGGGAGCCTGGGGGGGTGGCGGGAAAGAGGGGAGCGATGGGGCGGGGCCCCCAGTTCTTCCCCCTACCAGGCAAACAGACCAAACAGACCTCGCCTGGTTCCCTGGCACAGCTGCCCCCCCACAACCACCACACACGCCCATGCCCACAAGGTCTTAGCAAGAGGGGGCATGCCAGGCTGGGCGGGGATGGACTGCCTTCATGGGGCGTTGGGGGGCTGGGCCCTCTAGGATGCAGAGGTGGGATGGGTGCCCAAGGTGGAGTGGGCACCCTGGTACCAGTGCCTCACCCTGGCAAAGAAGGAGCAGGTTTCTACTCCACCCACCTCTCCCAGATGATGGGGCTAAGAATGCCCCCTTGGCCTGGTTGGCACCAACATAGTTCCAGGTGGCACCTACATTGGCATGAATGCCAGAGCCCTGGGTAAGAGCTGGGGGAGTTTCCCAAAGCTGGAGAAGCTCATGGACACCTTCCTTCCCACGTGTGTCCTCTGCCTCTGCCTCTCCCTCTCCTTCATTGCTACCTCTTGGCTATGGGCATTGGATTTGGGCCTAAGGGGTTAAACACCCACCCTTGCCCAAGCCCTGTGTGAGTTGCGTGGTGAACCAGCCTGAGCCTGTGACCTGACAGTGGGGTCAGCCAATCAGCACCCCCGCCACACCACGGTGCCAGGGAGACTGGCCCTGGGGTGGGAGACAGGAGGCGGGCTG